GAGACATTGAAGTTCATTCTCATTGTGCCCTGGTTTTCTTCCTATGTTTTTTGGGAGACTGGTGGGCCCTGCTTGAGGGTTTTTTTCACTGTTGAAATACCAAAGTCTTTCTCACATGATGGTATGCCATGCTGCATGTCTCCCTCCCCTATAAGTTTCATTTTAAAGGCATCCTAATGAACTTTTTCATGTAGTGGCGAAACATTTACTTTCCGTTTTTGTGAGGTGTGGCCCATCAGTTGCCAATAGTCCATCTTCCAGGAAGCTTAGCTTGTGGTCCAGAATCCAGATTTCTCTGTGCAGCTTCTCCATCATAGTCTGTCATTCACTTGAAGGATTTTTCCAGTTTCCCTTTCATATACTGGTAGGACTGGGGAAAAGACCATGTGAATACCAGTGTTTTTTGATTTTCCTCCCTAGAACTTTGAAAACTGATGTTGTCAAAGCTTCTTCTGGCAGTTGTTTGATCCCACATGGATAAGAAGGAAGGGGTATTTGTCAATGGGTTGTATTGATTATGTGAACCTACTGGTTATGCTGGGAGACAGCACACTTGGTGATTCTCTAGGTCATTGCGACATACATACTTTTCCATCTTGCGCAACAGGGAACTTCCCACAACTATCACACTTTTCCTTTTGGTGTTGCAAACTTTTGTATCCTGTTTCTTTCTTGATTGGCCCTTTGCCTCTTTTTCAGAGTTGCCCAGTGTGTCGTGTAGCTCTTTCACAGTGGTTTTCTCACACATCTCTTCCTCAAGCATTTCGAGAGTTCCGTTGCTTCCACTGCTGCAGAGTGTCTTCTAGTTCTATTTCTTCTGCATCTAACGGCCACCCAGTTCCAGGGAGTTTCCTCATTTTCCCTTCCCTCAGAGTTCTCTTCTTCTGCCTCAGCTTGTTGATACTCTTCTTGCTTCTGGACTACACTTAGCTGCTGCAGCCCCTCTGCTCTGTCTAAAAACTTTTCATTTTCTTTTATTATCTGGAGGGTGGACACTCGCTACTCCAATGCTCTCACCTGTTCTTGTAACAGGGCTACTAGTGTGCAGCTGTTGCAGTTGTTGAAGGCCAGCACCGCTTGTGGAGTCGCCTTGGTCCATTGTTTCTGCAGCCTTAGTGGTTCTGTCTTGGGAGGGGAGGGGGCTGTTGTGGCAACTGGTACTTTTGCCTGTCTATGCTAATGGTTAACAACACAGCCTACTAGTAAATGGGAGTGCATTACAAGGAGGAAAACAAATGTGTAGGGGGGAACAAAGGGGAAAGAAAGAAGGGAAAGGGTGGGAATGGGGAAAAAGTTGCTGTTCTCCCCCTTGACCTCCTCCCCCAAACTCCTACTTGCTTGCTCTGGTTGCTTGCTCTCTGGGAACTTGGCTGTTTGTAACCCAGAGGTCCTAGACCAGCTGGGGCAGCTTGCTCTTCTAGGAGTCAGGAACCAGAATGAATCACCCCTCCCACACAACTGCTGCTAGCTGATCAGGTCACTTTCCTTCAGTTAATCCACAATCAGCTAATCTGGAACTTTCCTTCAACTGTCTCTTAGAAAACAAAATACTTTTTGCTGGGCTAATGTAGATCTGTCTCTGTTCTGTCTCTTTGTCTCCTCTTCCACTACAACTCCTGTGCCAAACTCCTGCTTGCTCTTCCTGTTGTCCAAGCAGTTTGTTTTGCCTTTCGTATTTCCTCAAGGGATCTATCAACCTCTCAGCTTCATGGGGGATCTTGCAGACTTTGGGAGAAGAGAAAATATGCCAGTGATAGGGCTAATACTAAAGTGTGGAAAATCAATAATAATAATAATAATAATAATAATAATAATAATAATAATAATAATAAATCAGCCAATAAAATGCATTTAAGTGCCTTTTAAATGGAGATCATTAAAAAGCAGAATTCCCCTCTGCCCTGCCCAGCCAGGTCAGTAGGGTATGGCAGTATGCAAAGTGAACCTCTACTTTCAATTAAAATGCACAATGGCTTTCAGTTTGCATTGTGTCCCTGAGCAGAGGGAACTTGGGGTTAGCATGTTAAGGTGTATGATGGATAAAGCCTTGACTTTATGGAGTGTGTCTGACTAAGGAAGGAGACAAGCATTGAGGGAAACTCCTCACTGGATGCTTGCCTGACCCAACAAATACTGAGGTGTTCAGGGCAAAGCCCCCAACCCCACAAATAAATAGCATATTAGAAGGAAATGCAATTAAATGTAAAAGGAGCTTACAAACTCTGATTTCTTATTCCCTCCACTATTGTGCTATTTCACAAGCTACCATGGGCTAAGCCTTTGAGATGAATTCGCTTGTGCTTTAGCTGATTAATGTGAAAAGCACAAAATCTTATATAGAACTAGTGCCATACCATATAGTTCCATGAACCTCATGTCTTGTACAGGGCTCCAAAATGTAAGAATGAACTTCCCTTTGTTTTTTTTTTTTTTTTTAGAACATTTAAAATGTTGGAAAAACTTGGTTCTGGTGTGAAACAGGAAATGTTACACATAGCCTAACAATAAGGGGTACATTTTGTTCCATTAATATGCATTTTGTTACTTGGAAAAATAGTTAAGACAATAATATTAACGATTATGCAAATTGAATAAATTTAACAATTCGTTAGTCAATTAATTGAATAGGAACATGCATCAGTCCAGTGAAACTACTTTACTTTGTAGGAACCTTACAAAATCACTAGCCAAACGCCAAGGGAGGCTATAGGCATGGAGGGAATGCCGATTCATGCCAATGTCTTTCCTTCAGCTGAGGACAGCAGGCATGCAAAAGAGTTTCTACACCTGGACGTTCTTGATTTCCAAGATTCGAGAGGAAGTGGTGCATCTTTCACATACATTGCAGAAAGCAAGTGGAATCAAACCAGGTCACTCAGGCCCTGATCCTGACACATACCCCCACTGTCAGATTCTCCCCCCTTGTCAAGACCCTTTAGTTTTACCCAGAGGGCCTCTACCAGGTCCTCATCTGCACCACCCTCTATCTCATTGCATCCTATCCCTTTCCTGACATATAACGCTACCCCCCTTCTCTTTCCCTTGCTGTCCTTTCTAAATAGGACATAACCCTGTATGTTTACATTCCAATCCTGCCTTTCATCCCACCATGTTTCCATGATCCCCACTAGGTCATACCCTCTTATTTCCAGGAGAGTCTCAAGCTCTTCCTACTTGCTTCCCATGCTTAGCATTAGTATACATTCATCTCAGCGCCTTCCCATGACCTCCTTTCTTTGGGTCCCCCAGCCTCCTCCTCCTTCCCTGGTACCAGAACCCTCTTCATAGAAGTCCCGCCAGCCCCTGAAGTACCTCCAATGCCCTGGCTTTGAAACTCTGATCCTTTTTGCATTTTATTGTGTAGTCATTATATTGATGTATCATCGGTATAGCAGAAATAATGCTCAAGGGGGCAACATTGGGGTTGTATGGTGTGCTTATTTTTAGACACCAGGTGAAGTGGTTCTCTTCGTTCAAGGTGGATTGCTTCTGGGTAAACTTGCCTATTTGTTCATCTCAAAGTATCCCACTTTCAAAGCTGAGGCAGGTGGGGTGCAATTGGAGCTGACATTTTTATTCCCCCTGTGGTAGCACCCTATGTTTTGACTACTCTTCCTGAAAATGTTTTATCTGGAGTCAAGTGGTTCATGCAGCAAGTTAAAACTTCTATTTGTTTCAGCCATTAAAGGACAGGAATGGACATTCGCTGGTGCATTCTATGGCTGACTGCTTCTGTTTGCTTTGTTATTGTATCACCTATCAGATCAGAGATGGAAACCATGAAGGGACTACAAGTCCCCTCATTCCCCTCCTTTGCTATTCTGACTAGGGCTAATGGGAATTGTATTCCAGCAACATCTGGATGACCGCACATTCTCTACCGTCTCATCATCATCTTTATTGCGTGTGCATTATTTTATAATGAGCCGCATTACACTTTCAGCTGAAGGCAGGGTGGAAATGCTGTTACTAAAGCTGAGTTCTTCATTTGTGTTGTCGCTGTCCTTGGTTTCTGGGCCTGCTACTTCTTTTAAATTTTCTTATTGTAACATTATAGACTGCCCATCAGCCCAGAGTCTGTAGACAGGTGGGGTACAAATGCAGGGTTGGCATCAGCTCTTCGCAGCTTTTGGCAACTCTTGTGGCTCACAGCACCCTCCCCCCACCCCCCAGTTTGGTTTGGTTCTGTCCTAGCTTTGGATCTGGCTACCCTTCTGATTTCCCCAAATGCTCCCATCTCCTCCCCTGGGATCTTCCAGTGCCACTGCTTGCTAAGTGCCTGAAAAATGAGTGAGGAGTTCTTCTCACAAAGGACTTTAAGAGCAACAAAGCAAATCTGAAAATGCCATCAGTAGCTTTTGGTACTCACCTGGCAGCAGCATCAGAAAGAACTAAGGAAAGAGTCTTGGTTAAGCTTTCTAGGGGGCTTTCCAAAAAGCCCCAACAGTTGGAGAGGCTTTAGGGAAGAAGAACCCCATCCTTACTGTAAGGTAAGCACTGAAACCCTGCACCCTGAGAAATGTCTCTGAAATTCCCAACTTCCCAAAAAAGGAAGCAGAAAAAACTAAGTCCCCTTTCATAGGGAAATGAAAAGGTGCAAAGCACCTGTAGAACTGTGGTACTGGAATGGTTACTTGGACACCTAGTGTCATTCTAGGAAATTCAAGGGCTGCCAAGATGCAGCTGCACTTTGCTTCTTGAGGAGATGGAATCACGGCCGAGTTTGTCTGCCGGGAACCCCTGATTGGGGACAGCTCCCTGTGTTATTACTTTAAGGAAACAAAATGCGACATTCTGCCTCCACAAAGATGGCCATGACATCTCTTGGACCTCCTGGGTCTTTTGTCATGTGCTTTCTCCCCCACATCCCCCCAAGCAGTTTCTGACATGGGCAGCTTCACTACAACAGTTCCGTCTAACCAAGAGGAGCAATTTTGTACTTTGCCTTCCCTTCACCTTTTTCTTCCTTTCTCACAGTCTCACATTCTCTTTCTGTGTAGGAGGTTAGATGGAAATAGCTTCAACTGCAGCTGCGATATCCGCTGGATCCAGCTGTGGCAGGAGAAAGGCGAAGCAAATATGCAGAACCAAGACTTGCACTGTATGAGCCTGGAGACCAACCGCATACCTATAAAGAAGATGAACATCAGCCATTGTGGTAAGGAGAAACACAAAAGTTACTTAATTAGGCTCCAGTAGTGCATTCCCTCCATTCCTGTGCTAAGGCTGTAAGAGTTTATGTAGCCAAACCGGCACTCTTGGCATGCACCAGACAGCAAATGTTGGCAAGCCTGGGAAAACCCCAATGTTTCAGAAAGAGCAAAATAACCCTTTAGAAAGAACCCAGGGTGAGAGAGGGGACCACAAAAGGAGCCCAATGCAGACAGATTGTGGTCTGTAGCACAAAATGTTGACTGGTGGAAGAAAATGGAAAATGTGCAGGGTGGGAATGGAATGGAGTGGATACTCCACGCCATGCTGCAACATGTTCTTGTGGTTCCCAGGCAGTATCATTATTTCTTGATATGGATCACTGTACATAAAGATTTGCAGAATTTATGAAAAAAAAATAAGGGTGTCTATGCCAAGACCACACACTTTTAAAAAGCATTGCCAATACATACCTCCCAGCTAATGCTAACACAGACATGGATATGCTTTTGCTTCTCTAGGGCACAGTCCTATTATCCACATGTCAGGTAACTGTAAGCCTCCGAAATCAGAGGCTTATGAGCATCAAGTGGCAAGAGCGATGCATGGCAGCTGCAGTCTTTGATGCTTTGGCACCTGACACTCTATGTTTAGACTTTAGACAGATGTTTTGGTCATCATGCTAAGTTAAAGTGCTGAGGAGAGAAAGCAGTCTAGTAGATGTCCAGCCTAGTTTTTCTAAGACATTGTCCACAGTTACATGGTAAGAAATAGCACCAAATTTCAGCCCCCCTCCTTTGTTTTCTTTCTATAAACTGAAACATGCCTGGCATGAACTGAAGGAGATGCCTGTGTGTTGGTTCTCCCAATGTTGCTGGACTGCAACTCCCACCATCCCTCACCATTGGCCATGCTGGCCAGGGCTGATGGGAGCTGCAGTCTGACGACATCTGGAGGGTTGCATGTTCCCCATTCTTGCCGTGAAGAACTACCCTTCTCCCTCTGCTTTCAGAGACAGTTCCTCTCAAACGTTCCTGAGTGATGGTGGTGGAAAAGGCCCTGCTGCTGAGGGAAACATGCCAGTGAACCGCACAGTAGCCTCAGTAAGAGAGAGGCTCCCTCTGCCCTCTGCTTCTTGCAGAAATTTAAATAGAGCACTGACTCCATTTGCCTTCGTGGCTTGTCAGGCCAATTGAATTTGTTGTGTATGCCATGCTGTCATCTCATTTTTTGTGTGATCCCTGTTTTGCTAGGAAAACCATGAGAAGGCAAATAGCCCTCCCTACCAGGGCAATGGTAGGAAAAAAACAAGTCTGATAACTTGTCAGTTACAGCAGAAAACAAGATCTTGTTTGGGATGGAGGTTGCTTCCCCCACCCCCAGCCTATCTTTTACCTTGAACATTTTGACTTAAGAAGCAAAATGCAGCCCACTAACGGTGGTTTACCATCAGCATGATACAAATGCCTTTGCTGATTTCCTGAGACTGCAAAAATAGAAGGGTCCCAAAGAGGTAATTGTTGATGAGCTGGATTGTGGAACTGTAAAATGGCAAACATGGTATGTGTCAGAAGAAGTGCATGAGAATTCAGATGCTCAGTCTTCTGCCTTTGCTCCCTGCCTCCCTTGCCTTAGGATCCCTCAGGGCTTTTCAGGTCAACTCATTTGCACCAAGATCAATGTGCTGCACCCAAACCATATAAGATAATTTCCCACTCTCTTCCTTAAAAAGGATGATATAAAAAATCCTTCAATTTCCCTTCACCATTTAGAAACATAATGAGTCAGAAGGGGCTTATTCATCCATCTAGTCTGACCCCCAGCACAAGCTGGCTCTGCTCATGTAATGTCCAATCTTTCCTTGAACTCTCTCACTGAGGGGGCTTCCACCACCTCCCTTGGAAGCCCATTCCATTTCCTATGGGTCCTAAACGTCAGGAAGTACTTCCTGGCATGCAAATTGAAGCCTGATTCCCTGAGCTTTACCCCACTGGACTGCATCCTTCTCTCCACTGCAGGGACAACAGGTCACAACACTCTACCATGTGGCATCCCTTCACATACTTCTATGTCACTATGAGATCCCCTCGGAGTCTCCTTTCTGCCAAGCTTAAAAGACCCAGTTCTGTCAACCTCATCTCATATGATAGGCATGTCATGAGTGGAGTTGCCTGATCAGACTAGTTTGTTTCTATGTTTCTAAATGGCATCCCTCCACCAATCCAGTTACCATCCTTGTAACCTTCCAGTGAAATGATTCCAGCCTTGCTGTGTCTCTTTTATAATGTGGAGCCCAAACTTGGACACCATAGTTGCAGGTACACAAAAGAGTGGTTCTAACACCTCTCTCAGTCTGGAAGCCATGCTTTTGGTTATACATCCAAGGGTGGCATTTACCCTCTTAACCACTGTGTCACACTGCTGTTGACAAGTACCCCGAGATCCCTTTCACAAGTGTCACTCTTCAGCCCCTTGTCCCCAATCTTGTACCTATGGCACATATTCCTGAGTCTCAAGTACCAGACCTTGCCCTTATCTGCACTGAACCCCAACCTACTCTCCCCCACCCACTTCCACACACTGTCCAGATTCTTCTGGATTTGGGGTGCCTGCCTACTCCTTTGTTGTGCTCCAGTCTAAACTATAATTCATCCGAAATTCCATGCTTTTTAAATATTTGTATGAAAGTTCATAAGCCTGGTTGTACATAATTCTCCTAATACATGTAATTTACCTAATACCTTTAATGTTACTTTCCCTTATATGTAATTTTCACACACTTTCCTTTAACATATGCATCTTTGTATGCCTGCTTTTAATGGAAGAATTCCATCGCAAAATTTAGGGATGTACACATTTCAAAGGATTGTGATTAATTTGCATAGTGGTTCAAAATTTTTTAAATATATAACTTACATTAAAATGCAAACTGAATTAATTTCTTCCCCAATATAAATCTGTAGGGAAAATCATATATTTGGCTTGTTGCTTGACCTGATTGAGCAGAGAAGAGTTGGGTTACCCTTTTGGAATTTGTTTACTCTTACCTTGCATCTATCACAGATTAGAGGCCTCACTATATAAAAACCTTTTTATTTAATTGCTATTTTAAAAACTAATATTTTATTGTTAACAGTCACTCTTTTTGTGTTCATTTTTTAATATAATCTTTTATGGAATTTGTTATTTATAGGGATTGTGTTATTGTTTGTAATTGTATGTGTTGTGAGCCATCCCAAGATGCTGAGGCATGTGGTGATGGCATATAAAAGTTTTAAATAAATAATAAATAATATGTTTTCTTGTCCAAGACCCACCAACATTCTGCAGCTGAAGTTGTTTACATGATGGAGTGGAGGAAAAGACATGAATGATACATGGTTCCCTTCTCCACCTGCTGCCTTGCAAACTTCTAGGCATTGCACAAGTTAATATACTCCCCACTCTACTAAAATCAACCACACACTTTTCTCTCCCCATTCTTAATACATTTTTATTAAATGCTGGAACACGGCCAGGACAGTTATGTGTGGGGAGCTAAAGGGTTTTGGAAGACAACTAGAAATTCCTCCACAAATTGAAGGAACAGTCTTCAGTGATTAGAACATCCTTAGTGAGTGAAAGAATGGGATGGGAAGACCTCTTCCGCTGTTCACTGGGCTGGATTTATGTACGTTAATTTCCTGGGCTTATGGGGTGAACCATTTCCCTGACCTGCTTGCCCTCACAATATTCCCCATCAGAACTGGAGAAAGGAATTTCCCTGTTGAGATCTTTCCTGCATCAGATGAAATTCTTCCTGCTTGGCTAGTGCTCCAGCATGAAAGCAGTCCAGAGAATTCTCCAGCTGAGTCAGATATCTCTGATCCAGGAGGCTAGTGTGGCTTGTCCAGTTAGTCATTCCCTCTGTCATTGATTTTCAGTTTGCTTATTTATATCTGTACCCAGATACAAAAGATACTAGCTGGCTTGGGGAATTGCCAGTTGTGCGAAAGCACAGAAAATCTTCAGAACAGGAAGGGGACTGGACCAAAACAGCTGCATTTGGACTGAGGATGCTCAGTGGCCAAAGTTTGTTTGTTTGTTTGTTTGTTTGTTTAAAGTATTTGTATCCCGTCCTTCATGGTAGCATCTCAGGACAGCTTACAAGCTTAAAATCACAACAATAATAAAAACAATCAATAATACAATCATCAATAATAAATACAATCAATAGTAATAAAAATACAATCAGAGTTAAAAAATAAGTAAAACATATTCAAAGAAAAAGATAAAATTAAGATAAAAATAATTAAGATTTTTTTTTAAAAAAAGCAACTGTTAACTTCTAAAATCTCTAATTCTTAAAATAACATTAAAATTAAAAAAAATTCATCTTGCACTGAAAAGAGTATAGGCTCGGCACCAGGTGAACCTCTCTGGGGAGCACATTCCACAATTCCTATTTCCACAAAGTTGAAAATTTTGTGGAAAAATATGGCAGTTTGCGGGGGGCAAGGGGGTGGTGGAATAGACTACATGGAATTCAGAACAGGATGCACTCCATGTCACTATGTTTTACTTCTGGAGTCTGGATTTATGAATGGATTCATTCACTCATTACAGATCCAAATTATTCTTTCATCTGTAAAGGATCCCAGGGTGGTGTATGAATTTTGCTTGCACAGAACAGCAGGAGCAATTTCACTAACTGCAACAATTTAATGACCAAGAAGTAATTCAGTCTAAAATTCATTTGAACTGACCTGAATATTTGAACGGAACATTTTGATTTGGCCTCAGAATTGGTGCCAGTCAGAACTTTCCTGAGAGAGCATTCCAGTATCAAGTGCCACCACAGAGAAAGGCCCCTCTTTTCTAAAGCACAATGCACTTCAATCAACAAGAGCACCTGAAGGAGAGCTCCCTTTTCATGCATGAATAAGGGGATACAGCGAGAGAGATTCCTTCGTATTTTTAGTCCCCAGGTTGCTTTGGCTTTAAAGTCACCACAGCTACCTTGCGGGGAATTGGGGTGCACTTCTGCTCCTTCAGAACTGGTGCAGCATGGCTCCAGCTAGATCAGTGCTGTTGAACCTCACACATGGAGGCTAAGTCCTATCCTTCTGGGGCCCAGTCCAACATTTCAAAGTTCTCCATATGGTTGCATCCCTTTCCTGGACGAGTCATGTACGAGTATGTATTTCTCCCATTCTTACAAGGGTGACATTCTCTAAGATTCAGTATTAAGTGGCAATATTGTTGGTGCTTAGGCTCCATGTGTTTTCTTCTTTGACACTGCCCACCATTGGAATATGGCCAGTGAGAGCTGCTCTGAAATTGAATTGGGCTTTTGGGCTGAAAGAGGTTCACAATTCCTAACCTACATAAATGCATTTGGATTCTAATAGCTGAATTCTGCACCTGTCAATGCTTTTGGATCATTTTCTTCAGGTCAGATCACTTGCTCTGCATTATTATTATCCATCCTGGAAGTTACCAGAGTATGGATCACTGTGGCCAGGATAACCCTATCAAGAAAAAGAAAACAGCCTTGGATACGATCAAATAGCTTGTCACTTTCAGTGCTTGAAACCATTTTAAGGGGTGCTAGTTGCTCACTTACCCTCTGAGAATGCTTGAAAAAGCTAATCAGTTTTAGGCAGTTGGGTCCTCGGCCTGCTTCCTGTCACAAAGGTAGCCTTCCAGATATTATGGGCAATATCTCTCAAAAGCTGCAGTCAGGATAGTCAGTCAGTGGTCAACTATGCTGGAATTTTTCATCTGAAACATCTGGTGGGCTTGAGTTTTTCTACTTTGATGGATCATGAGATTAAGGTAGTGTCAAATCAATACAGGTTTTTTCAGGCTGTTATCTCATGGTCTCTGGTTCAAACTTCAACGAAACTATCCACGCTGCTCTAGACAGTCCCCAGTTCAGTACTATGGATAACTCCTCTAAAGTTCGAGTTGAAACCCAGGCTGGATAAAGTGCCCCACTGACATTGAAGTCACTGGAAGATTGAGTCACGGTGATTGAAGGCTTGTCTTGCCCAATTATTCCCTTGACTCAGTTGTTTTTTGTGTCTGCTGGGTTTATCTAGATCTGCCTGAAATCAGTGTAAGCCACGTGAATCTGACTGTGTGTGAGGGTGAAAATGCTGTTATCACCTGCAATGGTTCTGGCTCACCTCTGCCTGATGTTGATTGGACGGTGGTCAATCTGCGCTCTATCAACACTCATCAGGTAGGAGGCTAAATCTGTGTCTGCGTGCGTGTGTGTGTTGACAAGTTTAAAACACTCCTCATTGAAGCCTTCAAACTTATTCAAGTTTATGCATCATGGTTGTACAGTGGGCAGGATGGACGATTGGTTCTTTTTATTTATTTATTGCATTTATATACTACCCCAATAGTCCAGAGGGTTCTTGGACAATGGCAGGGAGTTTGTTGGTGCTGCTGTTGTAGAACTGTATCCCGCCCCCTCCCTGCACCAGGTCCTCCGAACAATCCCAAAAGGTCAGATAAGGTTGGAGTGGGCCTCACATCAAAACTCCTCCCCTGACATCAAGCCTTTGGCTGGTGCTTGGAGGAGCTTTTCCTCCAAGTACCATCCCAGTCTGGCACTTACTGCATCAACATGGACCATCCTCAATGGGGTAGCAGAAAGGAAGAGACTTAATTGATCCTTGGATGAACTCTTCCAGCCAGCCACCGAATACCTTCCTGTGCACCTCTATTTACCTTTTTTACTTTCTTTGTGCAGACATGATATTTGGAAAAGGGGCAGGGTCCACAAGAAGGGCAGGCTGAGATCTCCTGTAAGCCAGGTTAGGGCCCCAGGCTGGAGGTCCTACACAGCAGTCCCAAGTGAACCAGGAGGGTAAAGGTTCATCAGTACTTTCCTGTATTCACATCTGTTTATGCTTTCTTTTTCTGGTGATGGTTTTCAGACAAATGCCAACTGGACCAACGTTCATTCCATCAATCTAACCCTGGTGAATGTCACAAGTGAGGACAATGGGTTCCTGCTGACATGTATTGCCGAAAATGTGGTGGGAATGTCTAATGCCAGTGTGCTTCTCACTGTGTATTGTAAGTTAATGGGAAGAGGCGGATTGTGGGTCTGAGGGAGGCTGGGCAAGCAGGAGCATGGGGGAGTTTTGTGCAGAAGAAGGCCAAATCTACCCAGGAAGCATAAACAAGAAGCAACTGCCATGCACTTCTCCAAGGTGTCCTGTGTAGGGATAGGTAAACCAGGGGTGCATGAGCTTCCCAAGATTTTGAGAGCTTGGTTCAGCTCAATTCCATTCATTCATGATCCATTTTTCTTTTTATTTGAAAGGACAAAGTCCATGTTTTAACAAGAACATCAATCCCTGGAGAAATTCTGGAGCAAATTATTAAAAACAAAAATCCATCTGCAAGCATCTTGAAGAAATTTCAGTGATTAATAGAAGCCACCATGGATTTATCAAAAATAAATCCTGTCAGACTAGTTTAATCTCATTTTTTGACTGGGTAACCTCCCAAATGGACAGAGGGAACAGTGTGGATATAATCTACCTAGACTTTAGCAAAGCTTTCGACATAGTGCCACATGGAATTCTGATAAGCAAATTAGCCAAAAGTGGACTAGACAGAAAAACTGTTAGGTGGATCCAAAATTGGCTGCTAAATGGGACACAAAGAGTGTTCATCAATGGCACTTCTCAGATTGGATTGTGGTAACTAGTGGGGTGCCACAGGGTTCAGTCCTGGGCCCAGTGCTCTTCAACATCTTCATTAATGATTGGATGAGAAAGTACAAGGAAAGGTAATCAGATTTGCAGATGGAGTAGCAAACACCCTAGAAGACAGAATGAAGATCCAGGATGATCTTGATAAACTTGAAGACTGGGATGAAAGCAACAGAATGAAATTCAGTAAGGACAAGTGCCAAGTCTTCCACCTAGGAAAAAGAAACCAAATGCATCAATACAAGATGGGGAATATGTGGCTCAGCAGAACTGAACAAGAAAAAGATCTCAGAGTAATTGTGGACAATAGGCTAAACATGAGCCAACAGTATAATGCAGCCGCCAAAAGGGCAAATGCTATTTTGGGATGCATTAACAGAAGTATTACTTCTAGATAATGAGAAGTAATCATTCCTCTGTACTCCTCACTAGTCAGACCTCACCTGGAATACTGTGTCCAGTTCTGGGCACCAAGATTTAAGAAAGGTGCAGGTAAATTAGAAAGGGTCCAGCAGAGAGCAAAAAACTGATCCAGGGTTTGGAAACACTGCCCTATGAGGAAAGACTGAGGGAACTGGGGATGTTCAGCCTTGAGAAGAGAAGGTTTAACGGGCACATGATATCCCTCTATAAGTACCTCAAAGGGTGTCACAAAATGGAAGGTCAAGATTTCTTCTTGCTAATGCCAGAGTGTAGGACACAGAATAATCAGTTCAAGTTGTGACAACCCAGATTCATGCTGGACATCAGGAAAAGCTTCCTCACGGTCAGAGCAATAAAACAGTGGAACCAGCTGCCTAGAGAGGTGGTGGGCTCTCCCACACTAGAGACATTCAGAAAGAAACTGGACAGCCATCTGAGTGGTATGGTGTAGGATGGTTACCTGCAACAGCAGGGCATTGTACTCAATGGCCTTTATGGCCCCTTCCAATTCTACTGTTCTATGATTCTGTGTTTCTGAAATACTGGCCAATACTGCATTATTTTTCAGTATTGTGACAGCATATTTAAGCATCTACATTACATAGAAAGAAACAGAAACAGAGCAAGTCAGAAGGGGTTTCCCAGACCATCTAGTCTGACTCCTGGCTCCAGACTCCTCTGCTCATGATTTGACTACCATGGTCATATCTAGCCTTTCGTTGAACATTCTCACGAATGGGACTTCAACCACATCCTGTTGAAGCCAATTCCATATCCTTAGAGTCCTAACTGTCAGGAAGTACTTCCTGCCATCCAAATTGAATCTTGGCTCCTTGAGCTTGGCTCTCTTGGGGTGCATCCTGCCTCCCTCTGCAGGGGAGACCAGGTCTCTACCCACCTCCATGTGATAGCTCCCCCCGTCCCATGTGCACCTTACAAATTCTACTTTGTCCACAAGAATGCACTGTAAGTCTAGAGAACAGGGAAATGTTCCCTGTCCTTTTGGTATCATTTATTTCATTTTTATACTGCCCATTAGTCAAGGCTTTCTGTTGGACTGCAACTCCCGTCAGCCCTCACCAGGATAAATACAGGTCATGGGTAAAGGGGCTCTTTGCATATTGCTAACACAATATCTAGAAGGGCTCAGGGTCTTATCTGAGGGAAAGCCAAACCTGTTGGACTTCAAAAGCAGTTTTACTTAGGAAGCACAATTCCCCATCCCACTGTTCGTGGCTCATTCATAGATACTTTGTTTTTTCTGAGCCTTCTCTTGTGTCTGCTTGGATGGCTAATTTCAGAGGTGTTTCTCAGCAGATATTCTATGGGATCCCACTGGGTTCTCTTCTACCCTCCATGCAGTTCAACATCTGCATGAAACCTCTGGGGAGCACTAGCAGGAGGTAGAGCATTGAGCCCTATCTCTGCTCTTCATGAAATCCAGATGGGGCAGGAGCTGCTCTGAATCAGTGCCTGGGCATGGCAAGGGCCTGGATGAGGGCCGATCAATTGAGATGCAGTCTGGGCAAGATGGAGGTACTCTAAGTGGGTGGCTGGCTTGCTCAGATGAGTGAAGGTCAACCCGTTCGGAAGAGGCTGCACTCACGGAAAGGATCATAGCTTTAGGGTGCTCTTAGATCCACCTTTGTCACTACAGGCACGGACAGGGTCAGTGGCACCAAGCATTCTTTATCAGCTTAGGCTGATATACCAGCTAAATCCTGATCTGGAAGGGAAGGTACAGTTACTGGCTGGATTGCTTCAATATATATACATATATGTATATCATACATATATGATATATGTATATCATGATGTATACATACTGCTTCTCTCTCTCTCTCTCTCTCTCTCTCTCTCCTTGAAGTATGAAGTTTTTGAAGATACTCACCTGGTGCTTATTTTGTGGTTTTTCTGGCACCAGGTGAAGACCACCTTCTTTTCCAATGTTCCTCAGTCTATCTCTGCTATTTCCGATCTGTAACTGTATTTTAAATCTCTTTACTGCTGCTAGGTTTTATTTTTGCTTTCCCTTCTACTTTATGCCATAGTTTTAAATTTTTATTGTGCATTGTATGTTGCATTTTATGGTTTTAATTGTTGTGAACAGCCCAGGTAGCTTCAACTACTGGGTAATACAGACATATAATAAAAATACTTGACACACACACTCCATTTGTATAAGTGGCAAGGCAGACATACAATTCAGGCTTTGACTATTTCAAAGATTGGCCTAGGCTTCCCCAGGGTTTGCAGAAAGTGTGGACTGTTTTGCCTTTGGAGAACTACCATTTGCAATGTATTTTGTATTTCTCTCCCTCTATGTAGATCCTCCTCGTGTCATCAGTTTGTTAGAGCCCATCCGGCAGATGGAACACTGCATTGAGTTTTTGGTGCATGGGAACCCTCCACCCCAAATCCACTGGCTGTACAATGGACAACTTCTCAGGGAGACAGACTTCATCCGCATGGAATTATACCAGGAAGGGGAAGTGTCTGATGGCTGCTTGCTCTTCAACCATCCAACTCACTACAACAATGGCAACTACACTATCGTGGCAACCAACTACCTGGGGACAGCCAACCAGACGGTCAAGGGGCACTTCCTGGAGAAACCCTTCCCAAGTGAGAGACTGGCAGCATTTCATAGCTCCTCTTTCCCTCCCTGTCCATCAGAAGAACCTGAAAGGCACTATGGGGCAGAGACTCCAAGCAAGCAACTTGCTCTTATGAGGACTGGTGCTGAATGGAGAACTTTCATCCCTACAACACCAGATGACTCCTCTCAGGTTCATCCCCTTCCCTGGGAACTTCTTAAAGGAACCATCCTCTAGCCTGCAGCCAGGAGTCTTTCTTGTGCCCTTTAATTCACTTCAGCTTCATGGATAGCTGTGTTGGTGAAGGCACAGGAATGTCTGGGTCCCTTAGTGTGATAGGGTTACATTCACTTGAAGGCCCCTGTGGCAGGTGTGCAGGGAAGATTTGGCTTGAGCCATCTTGACCGACTCTCTGACCCAAGTTACTCTCCAGCACAGCCTCCCCAAACCTGACATCCTCCATATGTGTTGGACCATAAATCCTACCATGTACAGCCATGGTGGATACAGTTGAGATGAGATGCTTTCGCCCCCTCTGGAGAGCACAGGGTTGGGGAAGTCTGGTCAAGCACTTCTGCCACTAAGGCCCCGGTCCAATGGATCTGGATGCCCCCTGCTCATCTGGTTCAGAGTCAATGGCATCACTTTGCCTATTGTGGGTCTATTTCATCTGGATAGATGTTACAAGAGCAATGGCAGAGGTAGGGCTGCTGTGCCAGGAAACATCTCCAGTTCTGGGCCTGTCTCAGGTTCTATATCTTACGAGAGAGAGGGCAACAAGTAGGAGACCCTAGCAATCTGGTAAAAAAAAAGTAACAAGCTTTGTGCGGAGCCTCCCCATTTTTAGCATAACCAGGTCTCCGAAAAATCAATTTTTGTGGGATGCAGTGTGCTCATTGCCCTTTGGAATGCTGCAGGAAGAAAGAGGAGTGCCCTTTCTCTCACAGCAAAATAGCACATTTTGCTATATAGAGAGTGTGATACCAACAGCATTCTAATTATTTATACCTTGCTGTACATGGAACCTTTTCCATGGATGAGATACAGCCCATTAAAATCCAAATCTTTCCCTTGGAGTACGGGCAATATAAGAAGCGGTCCCGGCCAATTTAGACAGGTGCAGGGAAAAACAAGTCTTTGGGACATGGAGGACATAAGTGGTCTTGCGAGGTCTGGTTTCATGCAAACAGCAAATGAGGTTTTCAACCCACTCCAGGGCAGTGCCACTCCATTGTGGGTGGGAACTTGCATGGCTTAGCAACATGGAGAGAAAAACCCTCTAAGTTCACCAAGGGGAAATCTAAGCAGGAACTCATTCCCTTAACAAGCTTGTTTCCTATACAGAGATAAATATTCTGCAAGAGAAGCCTGGAAGGTGGTATTGAGGGAGACAACCTTCGTAGTTGTGCCCCCTGATCCCAATTATGGACTGATTTTCTAGTGAACCCTACCTGGGGCCAGCATTGTTATTTTTCCAGCATGAGGTTATAATATTCTTCTCTCAGGCATTTGGTAACACATGAAGGGGTTCTAACTGGGTCTTGACTTTTCCGTGCTGTTGATTGTTCATTTCTAGATATATAGGGGTGTCTCTTTGAATTCTGTGTTAATAACTTGCATGCATAGGGCTTTTATAATATACTTTTTAATGTTTTGATCTTTGCAAACTGGCCAGAGTGCTTCAGCTATTAAGCAGGATAGAAATTTAATAACTGACCAACTAAATGAGATTTGAACTCCTTTGAATCTGCTGCAAAATTTAGGGATGTATTAAAATGGGGGAAATGAAGCTTGCTTGAGTTTGACAAATTTCCTACCTTCTTCTGAACAGAAATAGGCTAAGTTGGGAACATTTTTGTGGATCTTTGTCTCTGAGTTGGGCTACAATTTGCAATGAAATCTGCACAAAAAAAGCATCCAAAGTAGTTCTAGTGCATTTTGTCCAAAATTAGCCAATTTGTGTAAATTGTTCTGCACAAATGCTTGATCTGCACAAAGGATGCTATAGACACATTTGCTAAGGAGAAGGAGTTATTTGTGCAAATTGTGTTAAAATTGCACAAATTGTGGTCTGCTTTGTGATGGACATCTGTGGGATGGCTCAACTCACAATGCAGATCATTGGCACCAATGCAAGGCTAAGAAACCAGAATTTGACTGACGAACTAATATACATGCATCAGATTTTCCACTGGATTCCTCACTGCTCCCTAGCAGATTTCTCCAACTTCCCTGTACACAAAGACATACACAGAGACTTTAATTCATGCAGTCCCCTCTACTTTAGGAAGGAAGAGGAGGAATGTTACTAACCCCCTTCTTTGTATGAAATAGGCCTAACCCAGACCTGCATCTCCGTTTAGAAACATCAGGCAGAAGAGGTGGGCAAAGACCCTTGTCTGTCTGCTAGCTGTCAAAGTAATCAATAGTGGGTTAGATGAACTCATGGTTCAGTTCCGTGTTTCAGTTCGATTGTATTCAGTAGTGTCATTGGGCCACTATGATGGAACTGCGGCTTGATGGATGTCCTCTTCTCTCTCCTGCAGGCCACTTGCTGTGTCCCCTCCAGATCTCTGCTGGAGAGTTGGGAGACCCTTTAGAGCAGGTTTGGGACATGGGAAGGGACCTCATGAGGGAGGAAAGAATGGGAATGGCCTTTCTTGTAAGCACAGTTCCCATAGTGCCAGCAGACATCTGCTCGTGCACAGGATGGGTGCAGTCCAGAGCTGCTGGAGAGGCAGCAAGTGCAGCCACAGATTCAGTTTGATCTGTCCTCCTGTCCTCCACCCCACCCCCATCCCCCTATCTTAAACAGCATTATTAACAACTGCTGACATATTTTGAGCACAATATGGTTAGGGTACTTCGCATCCGACACTGTCTACTGCAATCTTTATGAGATGACGAGAAAAGCTTAATTTAACTAGCATGCAATGTGGTACATTTTCCTGGGGATTAGGTGATATTTAGCACATAGGTAAGCCTTCTTGCAGATCAGAGCTTAAGGTGTCATCCTATTGTGCTGTATGGATAAGCAAAGGCTTGCCTGTGACTCAGAATCTTTCCTCTGTACAGGCAATTTGGATGCATTAAATGTGCTTTATTGAGTGCTGTTGTTGATGTATGTTCCTGTGGACTAAGCCCCACACACGGACATGCATGCACACATGCATGTGCACCAGTGTTGTTTTTAATTTCTGCATGTAAGGTATTTATATCACATCTTTCCTCTAGGAGTCCACAGCAGACATACGTCTTCTCTTCTCCATTTTATCCCCACAACAATCCTGTGAGGTAGATTTCACTGAGAGTCACCCAGTGAGTTTTACAGCTGAGTGGGAACTAGTTCAATGCTAAAAAGTCTGAAATTTCTCTCCTAAGGTTTAGTTACTGGCACAAGAGCTGCAAACTAAATGATGAAGTGTCTTTGGTGTTTTTTGAGGGGGTAGTAATTTTACCCCACCTCATAGCACCATGTGGCCTTTGAGCACTTCTGAAGTTGAATTTGCCCCTCAGACTGAAAGTGGTCTAACAGCCATGTTTTTACAAGAGACTAAATTAGCATCCCTCCCCAATTTTCCATTGGACTAATTTTGCGAATTGATGGCTGGAATAATAATCCCAACTCCTACTATCTTAGGGGGAGGGTCTCTTTGGTGGGGACACCCAGGCTTTTGGACTCTCTGAGAGCCAGTAGCTTCTATACTGATAACTTCTTGGCACCATCTTGTTTTATGTTGGCTAGAGTATTATTTGTATGTTTCTGTTTCATATTTGCTCTTTTTAGCTTATTTTGTTTTGTTGTTACCATTTTAAAGTATTATTGATTGCATGACATTTAAAAAAAAAGTTTAGTGTCAACCTGAAAAGGTGCTTGAAAGCTCACGTATAACATCGTATAAATAAAAATACATCAAGCTAATAAATTAGGGCATTGATCCAGCATGCTACTCAGTGTCCCTTCTCTGCAGCAAAATCAGAAATATTGCTTATCTGGATTCTAAAGTCTGGATTCTGTCCCCTCACCCACTGAAACTTAACCATATAATAATAGTTTTTTATCATTCCCCCAAGATAAGCTTTGCTGTGACCTACTTTGGTGTCCAGAAGTGCTGGTCTGGCAGATGGTGTCTCGGCATAACCAAATCCCTCTTTGTCAACTGAATTTTCAGTGTATCACAAGCTCTGCCTCCATCCCTCCCCGGGGCCTTTTATTGTCCTACCCTTTTGAATTGCATTCCAGATGCCACTCCTAACAGGTAGCTCTACTAAATCAACCTGGACCACCTCTGTCTTCCAACCTCTGTCAAGTCCTCTTCTCATCGGATTTTAGCTCACTCTGCCGGTGGGAAAAGGGAAGGCCAGCTCTCTTTCCTATGCCATGAATAAGCCAAGAGTCACTGACAGGCATTTAAAGAATATACAAGGCATTCTGGCCTGGTGTCGAGATAAAAGAAATGTTTATCGGAAAAGGCTGATCCTCATGAGTCAAGGATCATGCAGACACAAGACAAGACAGATTTTCAGGCCTCCAATACATGGGGAAGCACCATGCTTAAGCGACAGGGTTTCTGCCTTCTCTGTCAAAGGTCCCAAGATCTGGCCCTGATATCTATCTGCAAGTGTGGCTGGAAAAGCCTTCTGTCTGAAAACATGGAAATCTATTCCCAGACATTATATGTGATGCTGACACAGGTGACACAGGTGCTTTGACTTCTTAAAAAAATAAACCCTGGATATAAATCTAATAAATGAACAAGGCAGCTTCTGGTGTTTTCCAGCACACAACAGGTTAAAAAGGGGGGGGTGGTTCTACTCATCTGGGATCATCCATGCCCACTGCATTTCTGCTTAGGGCCTGGCTCATTGTGATGTTTCCCCTTGCCTGTGCCCACTTTTCCATGCCAGTTCCTGCAGAAAAACAAATATCATCTTTACTAAGGACAGGGAAAACTTGACAGAGTGGGTGCTCTGCTTGCTCTTTGACTGGAATTGATGCCTCAGTGCATGCTCAGCACTTTCGTTCTTTCGTTCTTTCTTTGGTGGTGGGGTGGAATGCTGCCTTCTGATTCAATTCAAGAGCCAGAGGGAATGACAAATCTTGTAGTTTTGGCAAGAAATAACGCTCAAAGTATGTCTGCGTAAGAAGAGAAGCCCCACAAGTTCTTCCTTTTCCCCAGAAAGGTTTTCTGTCATCTGGTGACTCCCACTACCTTTCAAAGGACTTTCTGTACTTCAAATGAAGGTTGAGGAACTGGAAGGGAATGGACTTTTACAAGTGGTAGGCATGTCATGAGCAGAGCCAGCTAGAGCTGGGGGGGGTCAGACTAGATGGCCCAGGAGGGCCCTTCTCACTTGCTCTGTTTCTATGTTTCTAAATCCAGTTGAAGACAACAGCTGTTTTTGTTTGTTTTCCTTTGTTCCTCTTAGTCTTATGCAAGCTGTCAAATCTCTCAAGATATCTTCCCCCAAAGCTCACAAGGAAAGCTTGCATTTTTTTTTCTTTGCAAATCAGTGTGAGCCAAAATGATTTTGCTCGCCATTAAATACAACCTCCACACCATCATTGTCACCATGTCTTAAGGAATGTTTACCTTGAATGTTGTTGTTAGTTCCAAAGTCATGTCTGACCCATCGCAACCCCATGGACAACATTCCTCCAGGCCTTCTTATCCTCCACCATCCCCCGGAGTCCACCTAAGCTCACGCCGACTGCTTCAGTGACTCCATCTAGCCACCTCATCCTCTGCCGTCCCCTTCTTTTGCTGTCAATTGTTCCCAGAATTAGGCTCTTTCTAGTGAGTCCTTCCTTATTAGGTGGCCAAAGTATTTGAGTTTCATCTTCAGTATCTGGCCTTCTAAACAGCAGTCAGGGCTGATCTCTTCTAGGACTGACCGGTTTGATCTCTTGTGGTCCAAGGGACTCACAGGAGTCTCCTCCAGCACCACAATTCAAAGGCCTCAATCCTTTGGTGCTCAGCCTTCCTTATGGTCCAGCTTTCTTAGCCATACATTGTAACTGGAAAACCATAGCCTTGACTATACTATATGAACTTTTGTCAGCAGTGCGATGTCTCTGCTTTTTAGTATGCTGTCTAGATTTGCCATAACTTTCCTCCACAGGAGCCAGCGTCTTTTAATTTCTTGGCTGTAGGCATCATCTGCGGTGATCTTGGAGCCCAAGAAAATAAAATCTGTCACTACCTTCATTTCTTCCCCATCTATTTGCCTGGAAGTGAGAGGACTGGATGACATGATCTTAGTTTTCTTAAAGTTGAGTTTCAAGCCCACTTTTGTGCTCTCCTCTTTCACCAACATCAGGAGGCTCTTTAGTTCCTCTTCACTTTCTGCCATTAGAATGGTAGCATCTGTATATCTGAGGTTGTTGATATTTCTCCTGGCAATCTTAGAGATGTTAAATATTAAAGATGAATGTTAGAGATGTTAAACCTCTTCCTGTGTGAAGACTGAATTCTACTTCCAAGATTTTTGTTGATGATAACAGCCAATGGCGAAAAGATGAAGACAAAAATAGAGCCAAAATACCCCTCTATACCTGCATATTTTGGCTTAATGTTCTTCCTGCCAGGAAATAAAACTTAGCAGAGACATTTCAGTTTTACAGAATGGTGATGGGGGAAAGGGTTGCAAAGAAGCACCACCAAATAATTGCTGCTGGAGAAAAGGGCTAAGGGAAGGAGGTGGGTCTGTTTGAGCAGTCAAGAAGCCACGAGGGGTATCAAAAGACTACCATAAAAGACAGGTGAAAACCAGACAGACAGCTGCAATTTCACAATATGTTTGTGTTCTCAATACATTTCAAGAGGTGCTTCTTCATCAAGGGCAATTAAATTCTTCAGGGTTTTTAAGAGACACACAGAACTACCTGCTTTTAACTAGTGTGCCTCATCTTCCTCGGAGTCTTCCCTGTGGCATTACAAAATTCTGATTTAAGGGGTCATAACAATCACAATATTTGGGAAGACTTTCTTGCTCAGTAGCAGAACATGTGTTCCAAGTGGGGAAAATTTTTCAGTGAATGAAACAGCATGGTCTGAGAATGGTGTTTTAACAACTGAAACATTTACCAACCCTCTTCTTCCTCTTCCTCTTTCCAACCTATCACAAATGCATTGGTTACAGAGGTTTGGAGTGCATTTTTTCCTATTATGCATTTCAGTGGTTACAGAAAGACCTTATTTTGTTGGATAAAAACACTGCACTTTCTTTCACAGAACTAAGGGAATTGTGCCTGTATTTCAGATAAGCCAACCTCACAGGGCTGTTGGAAAGGGAGTGACTGCTCCAGGCAGATTTTGTGGCTGAGAGAATACCTGCATGCAGGCTGCCTGAATTCCACTGCTGCCTCTTCACAACTGCACTCCATGCCACACTCATCTGCTTGGATTCTCTTTAGAGTAACCATTTATGCAGTCTCCCCAGCAGAGGACAAAGTAGACCATTGCTTTGCATTAGAGCTGCAAATGCCAGGTTATATGAATAGATGCACATCTACAAGTAACTGCTCTTCTTTCCAAAGAAATACAAGGCACCAGTATGGAAGATGCTCACCAGGGGACTACTGGGTCTCCACACTCAGTCTACTGTCCAGGTGCTGGTTGTGGAAGGGCTTCAGGGTCCCTGCTCTGTTTTCACTTTATCTTTAAACTAGATGTGGACTGTACAGTCCCTCAAATGTACTGTAAAATAGGGCATATAGTGGTAGTGTGTGAGAGCTGGTATGGTAGTGAGCATGTTGGACTGGGGACCTGGGTTCTAGTCTCCGGGTTCCAGTCTCCATTCAGCCATGAGGCTCACTGAGTAACAATGGGGAACAAACTCCCAACCCAGCCTACCTCACAGGTTTCCTGGGAGGATGAAATGAAGCTATGCATGGCTCCTTGGGTTCCTCAGAAGAGGCAAATGGCAGGATATAAATGTGATGGAGCAATAGTAATCGTAATAATATAATCAGGCAAGTTATATGTTGTGAATTAGCCATGTACAAGTAGTTACAAAGGGTCAAATTGTAGGTTGGGGTCAGGGAGGAATTTGTTCAGCTCATTCATGGGACTCTAAAAACAGTGGGGTGCAGCGTATGCTTTACAATCTGGATAATTTTGTCTGTGAATAGTGCCAGTAACCATGCTGTTTCTTCCTTTTGCTCTTTTGTTTTATCTTCCAGGCATTCCAGATGGGATTGTCACATGTAAGTTTCTCCTTGTTTTAGTGATCAGACTAACAAAATCTGCTGTCTTACAAAGGTGTATAATGGGGGCAAAGCGTAGAGGATTGTTGCTATTACTATTTTTATTGTTATTAGGAATATGGTCTGGAGGAAGATGGCATTCCTGCTGTGCTGAGGCTAGGTTTGGGTGAGAGCCTGGAGACTCTCAGGTTGGATGTCAGGAAGTATTTCCTGACAGTTGTAACCCCTAGGGCAGTGATGGTGAACCCTTTAGAGACCAAGTGCCCAAACTGCAACCCAAAACCAACTTATTTATTGCAAAGTGCCAACCCTGCAATAAAACCTGAATACTGAGGTTTTAGTTTGGAAAAAACTACTCATACATAAGAAAACTCAAAGCTAAAATCTTGTGTTAATAAAAACAAATGTATTAAAACTCACAGCCAGTCCAAGCAAATATATATATATATCCTTGGCAGTGCACTGACCGGCCATGCAAAAGCTCAGATAAGTCGCAGGTAATGAGTTGCAGCTCATGACATCATCGCCTGGTGCCGCTTCTCCTTTCCGAGCGTGCGCATGGCCGCTATGTGCACTGTTATCTGATGCTTGGCTGCTGGGGCGGATGCTGGGGCGACTTGGATTGTGTACTGACAGAGAGGGCTCTGTGTGCCCGCTGCGGCACGCCTGCCATAGGTTTGCCACCACTGCCCTAGGATATGGAAGAGAGGTGATTGAGGCCCCATCAGTGTAGGTGTTCAAGGAGAGATTGGACAACCACAGCTGGCTGGAACCAGGGGTCAGACTAGATGGCCTGGGAGACCCCTTCTGACTTGCTTGGTTTCTACATTTCTGTGCCTGGGGACTTTTTGGGACACTGCTTTAGCTATTAGGAAGAAGGGTGAAATATCTGATATGCCAGTTTTGCCCAACTTGGTGCCTTATGGATATACTTGAACTTTCATCCAGCTGGCACAACCAATGGTTTAAGAATGCTGTGAATTTTACTCCAAAATACCTGGATGACACCAGGTTGAGGAAAAGTGCTATGAGCTCTTAGACCAGGGGTTCTAACTGCACATAAGATGGGGCTAGCAGTATGCTTCAGGTAGAATTCCAAGATTTGCCTTCATATCCTCCC